AAAGTCCTTGTGTAAGCACTGCTCAGCAACAACTAAAACATCAGTGTGTTATCAACATTATTCTCATCCTAAATCCAAAACACAGCACTATACCAGCTACTAGGAAGAAAATTAACTCTATCCCAGCTGAAACCAGGACAACTGCATGTTTTCCCTTTTTGGTGAAGAAATGTTTACCTAATTCCATACTTTTAACATATATCACAACTGAAATGAACTCCATGCTCTTTGATTGAAGAAAAAAGTAATAAAAACTGCCTGTATTGAAACAACACTGATTTGTGCCAAGAGCTTTTTGAGACATATATTCAGAATTTAACTAGATTAAAATGGTGGAATGGTCTGATAATAATTTTGTTAATAGACTGATAAATTGTAATGGCTGTAAGTGATTTCACTCTAAAGTAGCTGGTTTGTGGATTTTTTTCTTTAGTCTTATGATAATGGCCTGGCACAAGGAGCTGGTCTGGAATCTCATGGTAAGAATGTTAACATGTTCTATACCCATTTTTAAGACTGGAATTGAGAAATGCTGTTAGAAGTGCAGGGTATGTCATGCTTTTCCTTCTTTTCTGGTTTTAAGGAAGTGGGAAGAAGAGGAGCAAATCCAAAACATGCCTGAGAATATGATGTCGTCTTCTCTTAGTTCCAGCTTAATATCAGACCAGATGGGCTCTTAATATATCAACTCTGTTATTCTTACCTCACAAATGTTTTGTTTAAAGGTGTTGGCTGTAGTTCTCGTCTCTTGCTGACAGAGCAACCTATTTCTGCATGTACCATTGGTATTCTGTGAATTTATCTGAAGAGATCTTGTGCAACGCACTTGATAGTTTCCAGTTTCAGCAGATATCAGTAAAGCCTAGAAACATCTACTCTGCTAGATTACAGCATCCATTGGGGGCTCAAATCTTGAAGCTGCAGTTAATTTTTGTAAGTAGGTGGTAAGGGATTTTAGGAGCAGTCGCCTCCTCAAGTAGCTCTGGCCCAGAACTTCCTCCTGCCTGGTCGCTGGAGCCTAGCCTGGTGTGGGTGTGCCCAGGGACCCAGGGTCTCTGCCCAGGCTGAGAGACAGGACTGGTGCTTTCCTGCTTGCAGGTTCAACCAGTAGCAAAGTTGAGCAAGACACACACACACAGGACACACACACACATCTTCTCTGTAAAAAAGATGAAGAAGTGTTCTCAGTCCAGTTAATGTACGTCACAGGAAGATTTCTGGCAGACCACTATATACTGGTTAGGAACATAGTTTTCTTCAAATGTTCTTTTTCATAGATTTAAAGTCAGTCTGATTCATACACTGTTCATTGATGACATAAGCCTGCATATTGGAATGAAGAGTATGAACAAAATGTTATACTATCACACTTATATTGCTTTTAATGCCTGAGCTAACCTGTTTAATGTTAACTAATATGTTACTATTCTGCCCTGTGGTATAGCCATACTTTCAGGCCTAAGTTAGAATCATAGAATCATAGAATGGTTTGGGTT